GAGGGCTCTAACTCGATATTCTCTAAATGCTACAGCCGGGGACTACAGTACCAGCTTATCGCCGAGCATGGGAGGAAAGACCACGAGCTGAAACGCAGCGCGAGTGAAACAGGTTCCGGAGAGGGGGGCTAGCGGGGTAGGGTTTGGGGATTCAGGGTGATAGGATGTGGGGTGTTAAGGTTGAGGGGCCCGGGATGTACAGCTTTGGGTTTGGAGGGTTTTGGTTGGAGTCTTGGGTCCATGGTTGGCAGTTGGGGGACCGGGCCTTGGGATTGAGAGCCGAGAATGCTCAGGCCGGCGCGGGATTTTCAGAAGTTGTTGTTGCGCTTAGGGTTGTGCTTCGGTGCTGGAAGATGCTAATGACACTGCCTTCTATCTCTCGTTATGGAAGTACCCTAAGGCTCCATAGTATATAGTTCCTTTTTGGGGTTCATATTTAGAATCCTTTCAGGTAATCCCAAAAAGGAACTACTCCGGAGCCTGTGGCCTCTCGTCATGGCACGGTGAACTGCCCAGGCCCGGATCCCCGCCCTAATGCCGGCAATCTTGGCTGCGAGGGCCGAACATGTATGCCACCAAGGATATCCAAGTCAGGCAGCCTGCAATTCTCAGCGTCCTAAACCCTAAACCCCCTAAACGCTAAACCCTAAGCCCTAAACCCTGTACACCTTCAACCCTAAACCCCGCACCGTGGTGCATAAGTATCCGGAAGCCCTTCTTTCTGAATTTCTTCGAAATCCTGGACCGATGGATCTTTCAGATCTTAGGCCGGCGCAACCATATTCATGCCAGCATTGCAGAGCCTGTGAGAACTACCGACAACCATCAATCTCACACACCGTGTCCGTCTCAGGTCTATAGAAGCCTAAGCCTAAAACCTAAACCTTAAACCCCCAACCCGAAACTCTAAACTCTAAACCTTAAACCTCAACCCTAAACCCCAACCCTAAACGAAAACGGTAAACCCTAAACCTCAGCCCTAAACCCTAAACCCTAAACGAAAACGGTAAACCCTAAACCCCAACCCTAAACCTAAGCCCCACGCCCCGAACCCAACTCTGATCTCTCGAGCCGGGCCGATAGGGCCGATACTTGGAGGGTCGGGAGACTTAGTAAGTAGGTAGTAAGTAGACTTATAAGTACCCTAAAAGGGACCCTAATTGGGGTTATGGTACTTATAAGTCCCTAAAATAGCCAGTTACTAATTCCCCCGACCCTCCAAGTAGAACCCAAGCTTTCAAAGGTCCAAGGATTGAGGGTTCAGGGTTAGCGGGTCAGGGTTTAGGGGTTGAGGGTTCGGGGTTTAGGATTTAGGGGTCTATAGGGTTTAGGGTTCAGGGTTTTGGGTTTAGGGTTTGTAGATTCACCATGGCCCATGAGCATCTCAAGCTTCGAACTTTAGGTACCCTGCTCTTCCAGTGTGTTTGTCAAGGGTTCTGCATCTACAAGGTGTTGCAGTTTTGAGCTTGTTGTTTGACAGCTTGGTTGTATCGGGTGTAACACTGTTTTGACATAGGACATATTAGGGTTTAGTGTTGTGGGAGAGTGTAGGGCTTAGCATTGACGGAGGTTAGGGTTTCGACAATTGAAAGCCTCTTCCGGTCGTCGGTGAGCAATCCCCAAATCATTACTGAGAGTTATCTAGACCTTACAACGGAGTACATTTGCTTGGCTACCTTATTCTTCAGGTGCGAATTTTTATCATAGGACCCTGGCCAAGAATGGAACATTCGAAAACAGCGGCACTACATTGTCGAGTCTAGGTAGGGCTCCCTGCGATTTTGGGAATTTGTGAGAAAAAGACGAGCCGACCATGCGAGGGCTCCCGGATCGCGCGGGGGCGCCGCGACCCTTCGCGCTGCACACCTCGAGCCAGCTGTTCCCTGGAAAACATAAACCCTATTGATTTGCTGGCTGAGCGTTCACTGTAGAGCTTTGGGTTTTTGGCTTTGGGTCGTTAGAGCTTCGGGTTTCAGGGTTGAAGGGGGGCGGGGGGGGGGCCTTCTTCGTGCATTCTTGTGTAAGCAGCGCAGTCATGTCAAGTAGCCGGCAAGTGTCCAACACACGGGGCCCGGGGGGGCAATGTGTGTTTCGCTGGCTTGGTGTCAGACTTTAGGCTCAGGAAGGGTGGACCGATGCTTTCCTTTCTGCAGTTCAGCACTCAGGGTCACAGATGTGCCGCAAGGCGGCGAGCTGTGAGGGTTTACAGTGCCCTTAGGCCCATGTATCCATATATAAATGAATAAATATGTATTACAACTCTATAAATAAATAAACATATGTATATATATACATACATACATACATACATACATACATACATACATATGTAGTCCTATATAGGGCCTATTTCAAAGCCAAAGTAATTGCTATACGGGTACATGGACCCCTAGGGGTGCATGCCAAAGCCCTTTCCAGGGAGGGCTTACCTGAAATATCGCCACTGGCTACATGCGAGATCGAGTCTCCCAAAGGCCTGCTTTAGATTCTTTAGTTCATAGGAAGCCAAAAGGGGTTTTAGCCTAGGGGGGTTTAGTAGGGATTAGGGTTCCCATAATAGGGTTCATATTAAGGAATCCCTACCCCAAGAATCTTGAACCCCCCTTTTGGCCTCCCATCATTAGAACTTTGGTACTGTTAGGGCTCTTAGGGTTCTTAAGGGTTTCTTTTGGAGTTCGGGGTTTAGGGTATAGGTTTAGGGTTCAGGGTTCAACTTGTCTTTCTCATTGTGGGTGGACTTCATCGGTTTGTACCCGCCTAAAGCTATTCTGATCATACCTATAGTCTCCATTGTAGTTCCTTTTTTTGGTCTAACCAAGTTTATAATTAAGATCCTATAAGGCAACACCAAAAAAGGAACTACAATGGAGACTATAGCTAGTAAGAGTCTTATCATTGGATTTACACAGGGCTCTGCGCACACAAACGCAATCTTGTTCTTCTTCCAGAACACTCCAGCATGCCTCAGGTACTGCTGCACTCAAAGACAGGGTGTTGTGGGGAGTGATTCCAACACGATACCTAGTTTGAAGCAGGCATTGCCAACAAGAGGCCTGTCCAAAGCGCAAGATGTTTGCTCAGTATCTCAGATAGCTCTGTAGTTGTCAAAACTATGGTCCCTTTTTGGGTACCCTCAATATAAGGTGCCGTATTATAATAAGGACCCAAAGCGGACCATAATGTTGACAACCACCCAGATCCATCGGTCAATCACTTGTTACCTAAACCAGCTCGTGAAGTTTCCGCAGTATAAGTATACTTAAATATACACCGACAGCCTATATTCTGACGATTCAGGCCTCATAATTGTTTTTTCAGCCTAGGTCATAGGGTGGAGAGCCCTGCGGGATGTAGAATTCCCGAGTAGTAGAGTAGGTAACCTCTAACCTTTGTACTATAACCCCTATGTATCCGAGATAAACTCCCAAAGGTTAACCTTTAAACTTTGGTTCCCCAGGATACCGGACAAGTCTGTCTAGCTCTTTGTAGGGAATGGGGGAAAGGATCCCTATGATAGTCCCTGAAGGGTCCCCTATCGTCGTCCCAATAACCCACTCCCTCATTGCCTACTAAGAACCAGACAGAAAACTTCAGAAACTTTGACTCTCAATTCCCTAAACCCTGAACCCTAAACCCCTAAACCCTAAACCCTAAACCCTTTGAATCACTGCGCAAAAAGGTTTGGCCCGATCGTCCAAGAGCCTAGCAGCTCGGTCCTGCCGCGCCCGCCGCCGAGCAGCACGAAGCTATAATGTAGCTATACGATCGATGCTACCAAAACAGGGCCATATATAGTTGAAAGTATAATGTAGTTATGCGATCGCTGCATGAATAATGTAGCTATACCGTCACTGATACCATAGCAGAGCCGTATATAGTTTAAAGTTTAAAGGATAATGTAGCTCTACTGTACGAGGTATCGGTTGACGACAGTTGTTGAATTTTTGCTATTGGTTAATATAGAGCCCTAATCATAAACATGAGTTTGGGGATTGTGGAAATCGACACCTACGGTAGCTATATGATCACTGTTACCATAACAGAGCCGGGAATACTTTGAAATACAATGTAGCTTTGCGCTCACTGCTGCTATAACAGAGCCATGCCTGAAAGCGTAGCTATCATACGATGACCCGCTACCATACCCCACGGCTCCAGGTACCTAATAATCATTCGCTCTCAAAAACCCTAAACTACAGAACTACTATCCTAAAACCGAGTACCTAATTATTGAGTCCTTTGGACCCCTGGGGATCTTCAAAAGCTCCGCAATTCTGCTAGGTACCATCTTCGAGACTTAGCCCAAGACCCTGGACCTTGACGGCTTCAATAAGTTTAGGGTTTAGGTGCCTAGGGTTTAGGGTTTAGGGGGGTTTATGGGGTTAGGGTTTATTATAGGGGTCAGGGGTTAGGGTTCGAGGGTTGAAGGTTTGGGGTTTAGGGTGTAGGGTTAAGGGCCGTTAAGGGTCTACACATCGCAGGCTTGGGGAAGGCTACTGCAATTTCCACGGCCATGCGCAGAAAGGCAGACTCCAAAGGCTAAAACAGTGTGTTGCTGCAGCCGAACTCTACGACTGACAATGTAGGAAGAGTTTCTCTACAAGCAGCTTTGGTTTAGGGGTTAGTGTGTACTGGCAACACCCATAATTGTAGTAGCAATCATGCTCACGACGATTCCACCAGAATTAGGAAAACATAGTTGCAAAGAGTAGAGTGAACATCTTTAGGGTGCTGCAGCATGGGCGAACAAGTTGTCAAACCAGCCCCAAACCCTCAAAACCTTCGGAACCCTTGTGGTACTCTGATCGTATGTTTAGAGTATCCTCATTCGAGTATCCTGATAGTAACCCTCACAGTAGCTTTGTAACCCTTAGGCAATCAATCCGTGACCGAGACTTGTGTTGCCTCTATGGAAGGGTTTAGGCCAGGTCTTAGGGGTTGGGGCTTAGGGTTTAGGGCCCAGGTGCAGCACGGCCAACATTGGCCGCATCCTGCGCTAGCAGAGCCCTCGAGATAGGCGCTTCCGACTTCGAGTTACCAGGCTTTGGGTATTGGGGAGAAACAGTGCTTAGGGGCTTAAGCTTTGGAGTCTAGGAGTGTGCCTTTCGGGAGCTCCAACTTAAGGGTTTGGGGTTGCTTGGCCTGGGGTTATGGTTGCAAGCTTGCGCTTGGGGATTTGTTGCCGACGGCTCTGGGTTTACGTCTTGTGGCTTGGAATGGGGCTTTAGGTCTTGACTTCGCTGGCCCCTGAACAGTTTGAAGCAGGGTTTATCGTTCAGGTTTGGGGACTCTTTGATGAATGCTGCCGGTTCAGCACCTCTGGAATACTCCTTTATTCCACTAGGATGCCCAGTAGTACCCTTATTCCCTTTTCGTAGTCCGAGGTTCCTTATAAAGTCATCAAATACCAAAAAAGGAGCCCTTTTTATTCCTAGGTTACTGGGCATCCTAGTCCAATACGTAGCCTACTCCAGAAGGTCCGGCCTGAACTTACCAAACTTACCCAAGCATCATCGCCCTTAGCCCTCAGTCCCAATCCTACTTACGGCAGAACCCCAGATTCTGCACCTCCATCAAAGGGGAAAAGGGCGGACCCTTAATGGGGACCCCTACCCTATAATGGGCTCTATAATGGGTATATAATAGCTACATTAAGGGTATATACCTAGGGGTCCTTATTAAGGGTCCCTCCTTTTACCCTTGGACTCCAGGAACCAGCCAGCTTGCCAGGCGGCTGAGTAGTCGGGATGCAAGGTCCAGGCATCCAGCGTTTAAAGAGTGTAGGATGTAGGGCCCGGCTTTGCGCTGATGGTAGAGTTTAGGGTTTAGGGTTTTTGGCTCAAGCTTCCTGCAAGATATGTGAGGTTAGCAGGCCTCAGTGGATGCCGATTGATTGCATCGAACTTGGAAATTACTGTGCAGTTTACTGGCCCCTCCCCCTGACAGCATGCGACAGCCTGGGCCCTACATCCCAAAGACAGATAGTTCAAGAACTCCCAGGGATTCGCTGGACGATCTTCAAACTCTACTCCCTGCTTGATGTGTGTTTTAGGGTTTAGGGCTACTACGGATGTCTTGGGGGGTGTAGGATTCGACTTTTTGGCTCTAGACTTGTCTGGCACGGAGGGTTTCAGGAAGTGCATGGACATGCCATCGACACCAGCCCAGCTTCACAGAAAGACACAGAAAACTTGCTTCCATTGAGGTATGCACTCGACATGGAACCAGCTTTCTGTTTGCTTATTTGCTTAAGAGTCCGTCGACCTACCCTAAACACTAAACTCCCTAAACCCTAAACCCTAAATCATAAGCCCTAAACTCCCTAAGCCCAAGAGGATTGCACAAGGTATGGTTCTTTGTTTTCTCCGTCTTCGCCACCGGCCCTGCCTCGGTTTGTAGGGGTTTGTTTGAGTTTAGGGGTTCAAAGTGGAGGGTTTAGGGGTTCAGGGTTTAGGGTTACGGGGTTTAGGGTTTTTAGGGTTTCGGGTTTTAGGTTGTAGGACAAGCACCGGGAAGTCTTCAGTAGCCACGAACGGCATAGGTTCGGGTGCTGTTGCGATACATATTAGTCCTAGATCGCTCACGCCTGTCGTTCACCACCTTCCTGAACTTCAGGAAATACGACTCGGTTAGGTTCTAGCAAAGCCAGGAAATGTCTAAATTATCCCTAACGCCCTTCACTCAAGCCCAAAACACATGGACTCAGCTGCCCTCCATGGCACATCTTCTCTTTGCCGACATTTCTGCCAGAATTTCGTTTCAAGCTCAGTTGGGTGTCGTGTTGCCTGGGGTAGGCCTAGGCCCTCGTTCCAGCCGGACTAATGCAGGAGCCTGATTCAGAAACCAGGGCCGATAACCCCAAAATAGTAGGATTCATATAAGGAGCCCTAATAAAGGCCCAAGGTTGCTTAATAAGGTAAACAATGCTTGCCTCATATTGGCACAGCTACGGGGTGTCGCAACCCTAAGCCCTAAACCCTAAACCTAACGCATCGACGCATAGAACTGTCTGGCTCTTCCGCTTGGAGCTTTTCCAGTCCAGTTTGAATATCCCGGCCAATGACATAGCACGAATTCGATGGATGCCGCAGCTTGCACACCAAGGTAGCATGTGTCTAACTCGGAGACTCCGCAATCAAGACAGCACAGATGCTTCTGAGGCTCATTCTGCAGTTGTGAACAGAAGCATTCGTCCTTGTTGTGGCGGTTCCGACCTCTGTCGCTGTCACCACCACTCGTGCTGTTGCTGTCATAAATAACTACGCCTTTCTTTGACGTTGATCTTGTGTTGGTTGTTACAGCTGCCACCATGATCATCATCGTTGTTGCTGTTGACGTTGCCTGTGCTGCTGTTGTCTTGCTGTCGCTGTTGCTGCTGCCGCTGCTGCTGCTGATGTACTTCTGGTGTTACTGATGTTTTTGGTGGTGGTGGTGGTGGTGGTGGTGGTGGTGGTGGTGGTGGTGGTGGTGGTGGTGGTGGTGGTGGTGGTGGTGGTGGTGGTGGTGGTGGTGGGTGGTGGTGGTGGTGGTGGTGGTGGTGGTGGTGGTGGTGGTGGTGGTGGTGGTGGTGGTGGTGGTGGTGGTGGTGGGGGCGGCGGCGGCGGTGGCGGCGGTGGTGGCGGTGGCGGTGGCGGTGGCGGTGGCGGTGGCGGTGGCGGTGGCGGTGGCGGTGGCGGTGGCGGTGGCGGTGGCGGTGGCGGTGGCGGTGGCGGTGGTGGCGGCGGTGGTGCTGCAGCTGTCGTCACCTGATGCTGTTACTGCCTTGTTGCTTTTGTTGTCCTCTTCGGAGACCGCGCAGAAGATGCACTTGTGCAGCGCCACTGCCACCGACAGCCGTAAGGCACCTCCGAAATGCCTCACACGTGTTGCTTGCGAGTGTCTAGAATTCAGAAGTTCAATCCTTCCTCACCCACCTGAGAGGCTGTTGCATTTACAGTGCTGTCGGCGATATGATGAGGATTAATTAGATGCAACACTGCCAGCTTGGCAGTAGCCATGATCAGTTGTTTTTTGCTTGTTACCTTGTTACAATCTTGTGTGCAGCTGCGTGCGGCATGGCTCCGGTGCCCTAAAGGTAAGGGTCCAGATACGTACGACCATACGTCGTGTTTCAAGGGCTTCCTTCATAATGGATTGTCTAGCTTCAGGTTTAGTCTAGCCCTAGCATGGTATAGAGGCCGGTACAATTACCAACATTGCTTCTGGGGTTCCTTCTTTATACTATGTATATACATATATGTATGTATATATATATATAAATACATACCGCCCAAAGCCGTATTTAGTCCTTAAATCAAGGCCCCTAGAGTGATGCTGTTGGTACTCGGACTCATAGGGCTAGGCAAGCAGAACCTTCCCGCAAAGCGGGCTGCACGTCGCCAAGGCAGGCTTCGTTTGGTCGCTGCTTGGAAAAGACCTCTGCATGCGAGTATGTCGGTCTCAGCAAAGCTGCCTCCAGCTTGTGTGGCAAGTAGTTCCGGCTGAAGGCTTTAACCGCGAAGTTGCAGTTGAACAGGTTCGTGAACCCTAAGCCCCTAACCCTAGGGATCAAAATAGTCCATAGCCTTATATAGTATGGTCTTTGGCCCCAAAAGTCTTAATATATGAGTCTTTAGATCCCTAGGGTAAACCAGTGTAGCTTTGAAGCAACGGCATATTGCAAGGACGGCAAACCACAACAAAGGCCAGCCCGATAAGCCGCGTTGACTTTAAGACTGTGTGTAGATCCCTATAAGGATCCATGCACCTATACATGGGCCCTAAAGTATCCCCTAAATAGGTACTTTAGGGCCAGGGCATCTACTGGATACATGGACGCTGAGGGGATGAGCTTTCACACTCCCTGGTTGAATATTGTGCTCGGGCCCTCTAGGCCTCATAAATCTGTAAGAAAGCTTCAAACTTAGTAAGTTAAACTCTACTCTACAAAACAACCCTGAACCTAAACTCTAAAGTAGAATCCGATGCTATATCCCAAAGGGTCCACGTACCATTATGGTATATACTTATAGTTCATTTTGGGGGGTCTAAGTATGTTCCATAACAATACTTGGACGCTTTGGAAGGTATAGATAGCTGGAGCCGTATAGGCCCCTCGTGGTGCAGTCACGAATCCCCAGAACTTGCCGAATTAAATCTTAGGGCTCCAGTTACCTAAGTTTAGATATGATTTTCATGTATAGTGATATATATATATATATATATATATATATATATATATATATATATATATATATTTGTTTATTTACATATATATATATATATATATACATGTGTGTGTATATATATATATATATATATATATGTACTATATGTTGTAACCCAGTCACCGAAGTTTTTGGTGCCTAGGGCCACATGGAAATCCATGCGAGGAAGTGGTTCATCAGCCGACGCAGCCGAGTCCTTCACCTGCTCGGCAGCGGGAATGGCGGCTGCTGACAGAAGGCCACATTGGGGTAGTTGTCAAAATTATGGTCCCTTTTTGAGTCCTTCATATAATCCGGCACCTAACATTTAGGGTACCCAAAAAGGGACCCCTGTTTTGATAACTGTTTATAAAGCATGTATGTATGTATGTATGTATGTATGTATGTATGTATGTATGTATGTAATACTGCATCTGATATTCTGTGAGGTTTCGGGAAGCTGTGAGTTTTCGATCGTCACGACTCGCTCGGAGGGTGAAGTGTTTTTGGCTTTAGGTTTACGGGCTTTGTGTTTAGGGTTTTTGGTTTAGGGCTCTTTGTCCCAAAGTTTGTCAGCAAGTCCCGGTCAGCACGCGGACATTCGCCATGTAGGGTTGAAGTCCATAATCCACATGTTGGCGCTAACGACCAGCGGCATGGTTGCGTTTGCACCAAGTAGTACATGCTACCTTCGTCGCAGTACTGCTTGTCGGAAACATAGTAACTACTTCACATTAGGAACAGCGGTAGAACCTATATTAAAAGCATCGGACCGCTTCTCTTAAATAAGAGCCGAGCAAGATTTCACAAATGTG